TAAAAAATAGAAACAGAAATAAAGAAAGAATCTAAAAAGAAACATACAAAAATTAATAAAATAAACTACGTATATTTGCGCTTGCGTTTGATATGTTTTGCCAGTCAACCGGCATCATCAGAAAAATAATTTTATTTCAGTAAAATCTTCATTATCGAGAAGAAGAAAGAGATTTCCTTAAAAATTGTGAATATTTCATTTTTACTTAAACTTTATTGTTACAGAAATTCAATTGAAACAAATTTCGACTCAGATTTTATTCATGTCACTCAGTTATATGCTATGCGGGATACATACTTAGTCGATCATGTATCTTTCGATACATGACTGACGAGGCAAATTTTGTTCCCCCTGTAGGTTGTCATTTCTTTCTGCGGTAGACCAGTTGTCATCCAAGGGTATAGAAATCTATCTGTCCTGGTATTTACCCCTAACTAGGGGCAGAAGAAGAAGATTCATACCTTTCCCAACGGGTATTAGCACGTAAGTGAATGTAATGGATTCAACTGGAATTCGAACTCGGCTATTTATTACTCCACCGCGCCTCAGGACAGCCTTGGCAACCTACTGCGGGAAAAAAATCTGCCTTGTCACTCATGTATCGAAAGATACATGATCGCGTAAGCGTGTAACACTGATTTATTTCAAGGTTTCCATGACACATATTGTTTCCGTCTCAATTTAGTATGAACTGGCGATAAACTGAAATTGCCCAGTGTCAAAATAGAAAGTATTCAAAAGATATTTAATACTATATCAGATTTTCTCTCTCTCCCCCCTCTCTCTCTCTAAAGCAATCTCTAAAGAATCAATTGAATCATTTTTAATCGAATATTCTTATAACTTCAATTTTCATACTTATTATTTTTACTGGATATCCGTGTTTGAAATAAACGTCCCGTTTTGATTTAAACGGAGTTTATTACGTATAATAAGTATTATATATATATATATATATATATATATATATATCGCTCTCATCCGCGCGGTATTGAGGAACCATAAAAACTAGAGATGTTAAGAAAACGAAGAAAAAAAAGGAAAAGAAAAATAATCAAGGTGAATGTCGTGTTCGAGAAAAATGAAAGGGACACGGAAGCGATAGAAGCGTTAAAGTAGAAGAAAGAAAAGAAAGGGAAGAAAAGAAAGAAAAGAAGAGAATGTAAAAAAAGAAGAAGAAGAAGAAAAAGAATGGAAGAATACGTAGAAACAAGAAAGAAGAAGAAGAGAAGAAAACATAAAAAGAGAGATAAGACAGAAGAAGAAAAAGGAGGGAAGAATAATTAGAATAAAGAAATAAAACAAATGAAGAAGAAGAAAAAGAAGAGGCGAATACGTAGAAAAAAGAGGAATAAAAAGAAAAAGAAGGGAGGAAGAAGTAGAAAAAAGAGAAATAAAATGGATGACGAAGAAAAAGGAAGTGAAGAAGAATATAAGAATACGTAGAAAAAAGAAAACGAAGACAAAAATAAGAAGTAAAAGAAAAAGAGAAATAAGACAAAAGAAGAAGAAGAGAAGAAGATAAAGATGACGAAGAAGAAGAGGAGAATGCGTAGAAAAAAAGGAGAAATAAAGCAGAGAAGAAGAAGAAGAAGAAGAAGAAGAAGAAGGAGAAGAAGAATATGAAAAAGATAAGAATATGTAGAACAAAAATAAAGTAGAAGACAAAAGAAAAAAGTCAAAAGGCGAAGAAGAAGACGATGAAAGAAGGAGAGAGAAGATTCCATAGGAGAACAATAAATAAAGAAGATGAAAGTGGTAGGAGTGAAGAATACGTAGTTGAACAAAATAGAAGACGAAAGACGAAGAAGAAAAATCTAGAGGGGAGGTGGAATTAGAGAATGTGAAGAATTTGTTTTTGTCTTTGGTTCGATATTGAATTAAGATAATTATTCGCTAATTCCAAGATCATTAATCAATGTCGTCATCAGATGGCAGGGCGAAGGGCAGCGGCCGTTCCTCGAATCCGACGTTCTTCATTTGGGGAGTTGACAAACAGCACGAAGCATTTTGGGGCAAAAAAGAAAAAAAAAATACTCGCCCATGACTTCAGCGCTGAAATAATCGCAGCGTTAATTACAAGATTCCTTATCGCTTTATTCTAAGCACCCAAAACCGCCACTCAAGTTTCACACACACACACACTCACACACACACACACGCGCGCGCGCACGCGGGCGTCCCCCCCCCACACATACGCATGCGCATTCACCACACGAAAACAAACGTTGATCAAATATTTGTCCGAAAACGTGTGCTCGTATAGGATTACTTGGGAAAGTTCTCGTATGCGTTTGCACATTGTATTCCAATCGACTCATATGGATGCACACGAATTCTTCCATATGCATTATAACGTAACGTGTTCATTCACGCGAGGAATGAACTGTGAACTAGTGTATGTTAAACGTGCATATAAAAACCGCTGATGTTTTCTAGCGTAGCGGTTTGCGACTCACAAAGAGAATTCGGCGAGGCGAGTTCGAATTCTGGCCGAAGC